AAGCTGTGGTGCATCGTGAATAAAACTTTCAATGTAACTAAATTAAAAAGTCTCTTAACATCTTGTCCATTGCTGTATCTACAATCTAAAGATAATACTCCCGATTCTGTAACTTGTTTGATATCAATTGCTTCACTTGATTCTGGGAAACATTCGTTATCCTCCAGACTAGGCGTCCTGTTGAGTGTTCCGTTGAAGGCCGTCGTAAGCAAATAAGGTTCAGTTCTCGTCTCCACAACCACGCCGATGAGCCCCAAAGTACATTTTTATGAGCCACTGGACTATATCGACTGAACCTGTACTATCTGGTCGACACTAAGGCACTTGTACATGTGATATTTGGATCTTTATGAGACCCATCCCAATCTAGGGAACAATTAAGACTCAATTGTGCGAGCACTCAGCCCATCCACCCCAGTCTGGAACCCGCTCTCGCAGTTGTGGTTAGTCCTGTGTAGTGAAGTGTGTGGGCGTACCTATGGAATACTAAAAACACTTGTTCATGAAGGCGTAAACTCGATAGTGTAAAATGAGACGGTTCACATCTAAAGACTGAACGTAAATAAAACTTCCATCACTTTCACCGACCGCTTGCTCAAGGTTTCAAGGTGTTTGTTCCCAAATCCCCTTTTCTCCGTCAGGATGATAAACTCCTTGGAATTGGCTAGCTTAGTGATATGCACAATTACTCCAGGGTATATCAGTAAAAACTAGAACTTTAAAATATATATTGCTGGTTTCAATTAGCATACAAAGATGAAGGTGATGTACAGTTTTTTGCCAGGACTGTTGAAGTTCGAAATATCAAATAAATAATAACGAACACTAACTAATAAGGCAGCAAAATGTTGTGTTGAAATCGATGAAACATGGTATGTTCATTCGGGCCAACAACCTTTCAGTCTTTTATTACATAATTAGCGAATTCCATGCATATTAGTCCAGCTCTTGTCCCTAATGATACAATTGACAATATTAATCATTGAACATCAAAATTCGTTGCCATGAAATAAAGTAAATAATACGGAACTCAGACCAATCTGAACCACACAGTTATTGGAAGAAATATCTAACCATACAAACACTGATGAGAAAAAGTGTACAGTGTAGTGTCGTACTGGATCGATTTCTGCTAGAATGTGTTATAGAGGAATGCTTGGCATTTGACAGAAGATAGTTTGATTACTTTCTTTCCAAATACCACGACTCATTAGTTTATTCTTACATTGAGGAACGTTGTTATCAGCCAGATAGAAGAAAATCCATAGGCATCCCTCCCACATCCAGGCACTCAAGCGGAATGGGCTGAACCGGCTTTCAGGAACACAGACTGAATAGAACATTCACTCCGGGGACCGTTAAACATTCCGCGGAACACTAACCAGGGCACCGTATTAAAATGACAAAGAGGGACGCGCTTGTTTTTATCCTTTCTCTAGCTTGAAACACTGATTTATATGGAACAGATTGCGCAACTTATCATTGTCCATTATTAAAGCTGCACATCTTAATCCCCTTGATTGGACAACAGATAATGTTCAATTTGGAATCGGAAAAGGTGTAGATGATCGGTGTCAACGATAATCAAAGCTGTTCTATATATAACCCGATACTAATCATCTGCAGTTTCTGACGGTTCCGTAGCAATTTTATTCGACTCACAGTAGGATGTCTAAATGCAAATAACGTCAGTAATTCAGCAAATCCCTGGAGATTTCTGTATCATTGTTTGTGCTGTACAAGTTGCATTCCTTTATCCACAGCCTCCTGAGTATGCATCTATTTAATCACTTTCATTTAAATGTCAACGTTGTTTTTTTTCTCACGTCCTGTGAGACTGCGTTTTGTTACACGGAGAGCTCGATGTTAAAATAAACCTGTTTTTAATTGTTGCTTGAAGCAACCTCAAGAGTTTTTTTAAATCTTGAATTACATCAATTAATTTGTGTATTTGTCCTTTTACTAAGACATACGTTAATTACATTGTGCAAACTGAAAACCTACCCTTACTATGGGGCTTTAGAAACAGATCTAACGCCTCAATCAGCGCTGTAATCAGAACAGACAGGTATGTGAAATAGACTAGGATCTGGAGTCGGTGGGAAGAGATAACCTACGGAGCTTGACATTTGCATTCGTTTAATCAACCGTATCAAGTACTGCCTTCTCCAATCCACCGAATTGTCTCCGTAGTCGGATCTGAACGGATCGGCTAGATCAGGCGCGTCCGCCTCGCCAAACCAATCGTCTTGCGATGAGACAACATGCGATCGGGCCGTGGATAATAAGAGTATGTTTATGATGACCCCCATCAATAGGTAAGAGGCACTGAATTTGGGTAAGCATGGCATCGTACAGCAGCACGCTGTGGAAGACGAGGGGAGGTGGGGGGGGGGGAAGGAAATAAAAAGACAAATAAAAAGTGGTTATTGGGAATCATGTGTGACGATTGTCTGGATAGATATAATTTGTGTGCTAATGTGCTGGAATCTCATAGGCTTTGATTAACCTCGCGGAATTTAGGGTTTCGTGTTAGGAGTACAAGATCTCATCTTTCAGGTGGTCAAATGCATTAAAATGACAACACCGGTGGAAACTGAATATTTAGCACGATTTAAAGTGCCAAGCTAGTGTTGGAAGTTACGTAAATTCCTTGTTTCTCC